TAAAAAAAAAATATGAACGAATAAAATCATGTTTTCCAAAAAAAAAGTATCGCTATTCTGAAGTCGACCAAGAAAAAAAAATAAAGACATGTAAAGTTTGATTCAACAAAAAAAAAAACAAAAAACAACTTAAGTCCAAGAGAAAAAAAAATACACTTCACAGCATGCCCTAGAGTGAAAAAAAAAAATCCGTGCAACTGTACAAACTGAATAAAAAAAAAGTACGCAAATTAAATTAAATTGATACAAAAAAAAAATTCAATACCGTCTTGCTTCAGGTCCAAAAAAAAAACAAATTAGTACTACTTAGAATTTGTAAAAAAAAACGGATTAAGTGCGTTCACTCTACAATAAAAAAAAAACCAAAGGTGAAGATAGCTCCACACGAAAAAAAAACGCAATTGGAGTCCTTCACTTCTCATAAAAAAAAAGTTGCCAGTAAATCGATTGTAAGTTAAAAAAAAAATGATAGAGTGATTGCACTTAAAGCGTAAAAAAAAACAAAATCTAAGTAGAACTAATTTGTAAAAAAAAAAGGTCTAAAGCAAGACGGTATTGAATGAAAAAAAAATAATCAATTCAATTTAATGTGTACCGAAAAAAAAATTTACTAAATACACTAAATAGTACTAAAAAAAAAATACAGTTGCACGGTTTAAGTGCGATCAAAAAAAAAAAACGGTAACAATTTATAACACTGGTAAAAAAAAAGCTAGCTAATATACTTCTTCCACACTAAAAAAAAAAAAAACTTAAGAAGTATACTAGTTGCAAAAAAAAATTCTTGACGATGAGATGTACGAGAATAAAAAAAAATTGATCGTTTTCATTCATTTCCATGAAAAAAAAAAGATAAAAGACCGGCGGCCATGTTGGAAAAAAAAAAAATAGGTCCTCATCAGAAATCTTTTGAAAAAAAAACAAGATGGCCGCTGTGACATGAAAACAAAAAAAAACGAACAATAGTTAAGTTCTGTTCAATAAAAAAAAAGACTTTTTAGCAGGAAGAAGTTTTTTAAAAAAAAAATCTGTGATTC